GAATTTAAACTTCACCCCATTGCACAAGCAAGTGGTTATCAGGACTCAGTGACCGAGTGAATAACGCGATGGCGTTTGAATCGATGGTACTGGGTTACTGGTTACAGGTTTTCCCTGGTGGTCTAGCTTCAATTGACTCACACTTTCAACAAAAATTTAACTTTATCATTCCATTGATCAATGAAGTTAATCAGTTGAATATCAACATTGAATGATTCTATTTAATTTCCAATTATTATTTCTAAACGAAAGTGATTTGTTTCATTATTTCTGTTGTTCTCTTTAAAATCTTCTTTTTGTTTACTTCACATCTCAGTCTCCCCCCCCACTTCTTTCCACATTATTGTCCCTAATCTAATCTTATAAATAAATTTCATTTGTAAACAGTAAAATGATCAATACATTTATTTAGTTATTTGTTTTTCATTTGAGCTTCTGTATTATTCTTTGTTTTTCTCTGGATCTAGTTTCTTGTTGTTGTTGTTGTTGTTTTCTTTTTTCTCTCCATTTGGATTTCTATTGTGTTCTAATTCTTTAAAGTATACTTATTATATTCCCATTTGATATCAAATGTTGTTTCAACGACAAACAATATTAAGTTACTTCTTTATTATTCTTGTTATTATAGTAAGATTAATTGAGTACTTATTGATTTCTTTTAAGTAGATTTTATAATATTCCCAGGTAATGCTTTATTCATACTCTTCTTTATCTCTCAATCTCACCCTCTCTTTTCCTCTAGATGTTTCATTGTTGTATATAAACTGCGTTGGAATTAAATATTTGCAGTATTGGTTACCAAATGAGATCAATATAGGGGTTAGGCGTTCTCACTCGAGATCTAAGGCTCTACGTTCACTCTCCTGTGGAGATGTAGATATGCACTTCTAATGAGTCCTACACTAGGACGAAATCGCTGTCCAGTACTTTTTGGTTTTTAGTAATAGTCTATTTAAATAAGTTTGTGGTTTAAACTGTGAAAATATCTTGAAATGCACCAAAAAAATGTTACCACCCACTTAGAAATTATGTGACCTGTTCATGAAGTTATTCACTCTTATTTGTGTATTATCTAGATAAATTGTAGACTTACTGTTATATCTAGAGCTTTCATTCTTATTATGCCGCGTACTACTAGACTACTTGAACGATAGAACCTGCAATGTCGCAAGAAAGAAAACATAAGACTAGTAAGTAGGAACTTTTATTCCCCAAAACAGTGTCAAAATATAGTACAGAAATCTCATGTATTTATAGTTATTGGCTGAATGTAAATCATCATTTCGGTCAACCATTAGGCACATAGGCGTCATTCTTATCCACCCAATGGGGAAGCTACACGTCGACATTCTAGAATGTTCCCCTAGCAGTGATTGGATGGAATGTTTGCTGCTCTTTCTGGGCTTCTTAAAGCTTCCAAGGGTTTACCAACGAGCCGTCCTTACACTTACATTGATTTGGGTAAATACTCTAAAGTTTAATAGATTCCTTTTTATCGTTTTAATTGTCCAATTAAATAAACGAGTTGTGGTGATGAAAACTGTATTTTACAAATTCGAGTTATAACAACATTCCTAACTCCATTTTAAAATACTCCCTGATTATGTTAATATATTTCAAGTTTCATTGGTTTAATTATTTCTGGAAATCTTCGGAGATCCAGATCATAGGATTAAAATTTCTCATAATTGATTACCTTTTACAAGAAATTAGAGAACGTTTATGAATGTTTCATGCTAGTTTAACTTCGAATCAGTTGTCAGCAGCTTTAGGATAATATCTTTTTGAAAAGATTTGCTCAATGCAAAATTATCTTGTCATCATCACATATTATTTGTATTTGCAAACAAAGAACTACTATTGTATACTACTTATGTTGACAGATATAAGTAGTATGTGGCACGAATCGGAAGTGGAATGCGTGCGAGCAGAAGATTGAGAAAGTTGAAATGACGAAAAAAGAAGCAGAGGGGGTTTTGTGGAGAATTTAGTATTTTCACAGTTGAAATCATGAGTCAATTGAAGCTAGACCACCATCGAAAACCTGGAAGCACTGGACTGCCGTTTCGTCCTATTATGGGACTCCTCAGCAGTGCGCATCCACGAACCCGCTCTCGCGAGCGAGATTCGAACCCAGGATCTACCAGTCTCGAGCCGAAGCCCTTAACCGATAGACCACTGAGCTGGTCGGCATCCAACGGTGTTAATGTCTAACTTCAACCAATCCACGATGTTTGAGCGACCGTTCACCAATTGTCTTCAGTGAGCTGATATCTTTACAACAGACTTGATAGAACTCCACTGGCCACTGCTTCCCACTAGAACTCAAGGAAATATCTCTTGAAGTCAGTCACTAGTGAGCATATGATTATAGATGAGAGGGGGTTTTGTGAAGAATTTAGTATTTTCATAGTTGAAATCATAAGTCAATTGAAGCTAGACCACCATGGAAAACCTGGAAGCACTGGACTGCCGTTTCGTCCTATTATGGGACTCTTCAGCAGTGCGCATCCATCACATCCATCCATCCAAAAAGAAGCAATCAAAATAACAACAGGAATGAAGGAACGATGAATTTTATAAGAGATAACTCATTGAAGATGTGCAAATGATGTATTTAATGTATAGTTTTTTTATATTTTACGAAGGCAAATTTCACAAATCTCGTGGTGTATTTCATGCTGAACATAGTTCGTATTAATTTGATACAAAGAGTAATGTTTCTTGAATAAATGTCGAATCAAATGTGTATAAGTACAACATTACAGAATGTCTCATTAAAGTATGAGAACCATATAGTGAACAGTTAATTTGCAAAATAACAATCAATTATCTCAATTTGACTGTTTCTTCTACAAATATCCATCCATAGTCTCCGATTACAATTGTTCATGCATTTTCGTACCAATTGCGTACCGTTCCTGTTCTCTACTTATCGATATTCTACTGAAATACATTCAGTGCCCGACCATCACCATATACTACTTGTGTGGATATCAGTAACCCACACTACAATATTTGATCAAGAATCACAATGAGTTCAAAATTTACTTTTACATTTTCATCTCTTCATTATCGAAAATGTTTACTTAGAGTCTTCTCCACAAACTATCAGGAATTATGTAGATAGTGAGTTGCCTATTCGGAGATCACAAAAACAACTACACGTGTTCAGATGGTTTCATGGATAATTGTTCATACACATAAATATAAACAAATGTTTTCGAGATAACTGTAAACGATCGCAATCATATATCGATGTACCCTAATCGATGTATCCCAAAAGGAAGATTTAATTTTCAAGGTAGAGGGAAGATGATATACGTAGACAATCAGACATAGAATAAATGATAAGTGGGAGATGCTGATGGATACACGCTGTTGGTCAATACTTAGATTCGTTTTTTGAGGAAAGAGACACGCTATTAGTTGAAAATGTGACTATTTACTGAAGGAAAATGTATCTATTAATGCATAAGTTGTACACATTCTCGACTCGCTTGAATTAATAAAATCTTTCTGCTCACTCTTGGGGTTCACACCCGATTGAATGGCTCGGATACGCATATAGGAAGGTTGTGCATCAATAGCAGACTCGGACGAACGTACAACATTATATATATTTACATTTGTATATATAGACTGCTTTCTTAAGATATGAAAACTGTACATTAAATACTTCATTTGCACATCTTCCATCAATCGTCTCTTACGTGTTTCATGATTCTGCTAATTCTGTTTTTTTTTATCCCAATTCCTTTGTGTTTCCCTTTCTATTTCCTTTAGTTTAATCTTCTCAATCCTCTTTTGACAGACATCCCACATGTCTACATACTACTTAAATATGTCAACATAAGTAGCGTACACCAGACCCAGTAAATAATGCTATAGAAATTGAGTTTTGAAAGGAATTTCGAACTTGTTTAAAACTCCGTAATATTCGTAATTATTCTTCAATTTAGTCTGTTTTAATGTATATACCAATTACTGTGTAACCGTAAAATTTTCTTACTGTATAGGTCATCGTAAGAAAGCTATGGATGGCCAAACAAAGACATGGCATCAGTCCATGCCGATCGAGTAGATTAGGGTCTGTGTAATGACTGCAACTAATGATATTGTTCAAAATCGTTCGTATTAGTACAGATGCATTTACTTTCAATCTTCCCCCTAGATTTTACGTTTCTAAATTCCCCATAAATGATTTTCTATTCCACTGATTTACATTTTCTTAATTAGTATAATCGATGACTGATGTTTTTTATTACCAATAATGCTATTGTTACCTGTACTACTGTCGGATTTGTTTTAGAAATTTCATCTCTCTGTACAATTGGTTAGTGACAAGTTAAATTAATTTACATATAAGCCAGGTTCTACATTACTTACCTGTTGTGTCAGAAAATAAACATTGCTTGTGGTTGTATAGGGTCTTGTGTGACCGGAATGACATGAAAGCAGTTGTATGGTTTCTATCTCTCTTTCTCTAGTCCGTTTATTGGTTAGTGCGCCCATATTGTCAGTTGAGTCGGTAACCTTCTAAGTACTCACTGACACACTGGTCAATGAATAACAACCAAGAACTTTGCTCTTACTGGTCCTCAAACTCCCAGTGGTCAACCGAAAGCCTACGATAAAAACCAAATCAGTTCATACAATAAAGTAATTGAAATGCTTGAAAACACAACAAAACAAGACATGAATATGTGTAAATAACTTGGTCGTCATAAGTGATACAAGATCATTGTACAAATCTGGAACACGAAAATATTCGACAGTAATTTATAGGTCAAACGAAAGGTTCCAAGTGGGGGAATATAAAAATATGACTGTCAAAGTATTTACTAATTATACAGGGAAATTACAAATAATAATCCCTTGTATCATAACTTCCGTACTACTCGTCCCATTATATCAATATCAATAGCTGAGATTACTAGACGTCTTTCAAGCCTATTTAACTTATTTATCGGTTTTTTTTCATCTTTAAATTTCTACAGAAGGTGAATTTGAAGTTTCAAAAGGTGGTAAACGTTTGTATATTATGGGAGCTGGTCGTTGTTTTGGTGAATTGGCTTTATTATATAATTGTAAACGTACGGCATCTGTAAAAGGTAAGTTGAATTTTGTAATGGATTCTGATTTGTTTATAGTATTAGTCGATTTTTTTTGTTTCTCGTCGAAATACTACTTGTCAGTAAATTTGTTTTGTTATTCATATTGTACACTGTTTGTTGTGTTATGAAATAAATGATTTCTGGTGGTCACACAATACAACGCTTGACTTTTGAACCCCATTTCACCTATTTTCACTGTTTTAGCATTTAGGTTAATATCGACAACAGCGAAATCCTATCCAGGCCTCTTCATGGAGCCGTGAGGGATCTTGAGGGTTATATCTCATGAACCAATGTGGGCGGTCGATGGAGAGAGCGGTTTAATCAAGCACTCAGTTGTAAAATCAGATCATACCAAGTTTATCTATCTCACGAGGCTGACAAACTCAGAGCGGAGTATCCATGCCTATGTATGCACTGAGACTAATGGATCTACTTGATGTGTTTTTTAGGTATTTATATTGTGTATATTTGTCCAAAGAGAAAACCTGTCACGAGGACCTCATTTATGCTTACATGTACATGGTTGCTCGCTACTGCTAATTCTTGTCATACTAGAGCTAAGCATCTTTCCAGTGTTCTTATTGGTTGTTTAGCTAAATGTAATGCTTAATATAAACTCGGAGATGGATAGTCCTCAAAAATCTCGTACACTATTAATAATAATAGTTTTCTTCTCATCAGTGATTCATTACGAGCGGAATTCACGAAATTTTAGTGAAACTACATGACCAGTGAATTTTGACCAGACATCAATGATAACAAGAGATGATGGTCGTCAGTCAGTCAGTTATGTACAACGTAGGGCCAAGCACACATATGTATCGGTTCAAGTTGCCATACCTTATTAGCACAAGATGATGTTCGTAAAAAGTAACAAAATAACTGGTTAGAATTGTTATACACTGTATCCTGACTCAATGATTTAAGCATAAGTAACATGAATGCAATGAGACAGCCTAACATCGAAGTCATCGATGCGCGCTGATGAGAGGTTGGATAGTGATCGAATTGAACAGTTTCTATTAGCTTACCTTATTTATTTATTTAAGCACATAAATATTGGTACAAGGAAGTATCAGATACATATGCGCTGCACAAATCTCATTTGATTTGTGTGAGGGCTGTGATACTGCCCAGGTGCCCAGAACGAAGCAGGTGGTTTTCTTAGGAGTCCATACCTGGAGCCTTTGACCTAAAGATTGATCTACAAGGCAGTGGAGCATCGTAAGGATATGCAATCCCTTTGTAGCCGGTGACTAACAATTTATTCATAAGCCATTTGTTCCCTCAGGATACTGGAGACAATGTGCATCATCGGCTTGGAATGAGGGTTTTCCAACTCCCCTAGGTGGACTCGTCATGTCCACTAACACGGTTAAAGCGCCGGACATTCGCTCTTCGTCCTTTCACTTTCGTGAACAACACTCCCGCCAAAAGAAGGCAATTAGTAGGACTTCCCTGTTAGAGGCTATATACGCGTGAGAGGGAGAGCGGAATCTCCACACTCTCGGCCGTACCAGGGCATTTGAAGGCGCTTACCTTATATGCTTACCCATTTGTTAGTCGTGATATAAAAAGTAAATACATGTGTGAATAATTTACATAGAATACGATTTACATTCAGATTTCTTTTCACTATCGTTTCCAAACATTGACCACCTGTTCCATATGTTTTCATGTTCATTGATAGATGTCATTTTTATTAATGAAAAACAATAAAAAATGTGCAATTCTATCAAACAATCAAAAGTGATTCCTCCATTCCTCTATGTATGTATCTATGTATGTGTGTTTGTGTGTTTGTGAGTGACTAGAATATAATGCATTCATCCAAGTGATTATCCATAACGAAATATATTCTGGACATTAAATTGTGTCATGGATATACTCTAGTTGTTTTCAAACACATAAACATTGATACAGGGGGGGACACCAGATATATATACACCACACGGAGTGGTGGGTAATGTTGGTAGTAGTAGTAGTAGTAGTAGTAGTAGTAGTAGTAGTAGTAGGAGGAGGAGGAGGAGGAGGAGGAGGAGGAGGAGGAGGAGGAGAAGAAGAAGAAGAAGAAGAAGAAGTGTTAGTAGTAGGCTTTATTCATAATAACCATAGTAATAGTAATGATAATAATCTAATTACCACGATTAGGTGTTTTGTTTAATAGTTTCTTCCTGTTGTATAGTTTTATTCACTAAGTTATGTCCATAAATGTATGTATTTATAATGATAATAATAATTTATGTTCAGTTATAGTAAAGCTAGACTAGTTAATCAACATTAATGATTTTTACTGTTCAATGTTTGTATTGAATGTATGTGTTTGACTTCACACATAGAATGGTAATATACTTGTGTATGTTTACATTATACAACACCGACCGTACTATTAAACTAGTAGGAAATATGGGAACAATCTGATTGTGGACAATTTGCAAATCATTAACAAATTACACAAAGTAACTATAGATTTTTTGTAAATTGGGCTGAGTAATGTTTAATACCAGTTCGTCAAAAAAATTTACTACACGGACACGTATGCGATACCGAATGATTGTTTTTCACATTGACTTGGTTTTGCTCTTTCGGTCCTATCATATCAATGGGATTCCTCAACAGTTCTCATTCATAACTCCAGAACCTTCGTTCTTATGCATGAACGCTTGACCTCTAGACCTCTGTGACACCATCCAATGGTGTACATGTCTAACTTATTATTATTATTACTGTCGTCATTATTATTTTCAGTATGGAGTTGTGGAGATTGTTGAATTTCATTGAAATCATGGAGCGATCAGCTCTGGATCATCATTGATAACCTGGAAGCACTGGAGAGCCGTTTCATCCTAGTATGGGACTCTTCGACAGTGGGGTTCAATCGTGTCTAGTGTGAGACAGTTATCCACCTAAGATAATGAAAGTTGGTTGCATAGTATCGCAGACTGGTTGAAGTTAGATAAAAGCATTTTTGTATGCCGGTTCATTGGTCTAGAGGATAATCGCTCGCGCGAGACTTAAGTCTCTATGTTTAAATCCTGCGCGCGGAATCTTGGATGTTGAGGAGTCCCGTACCAAGACGAAGTAGTCGTTCAGTGCTTACGGGTTTTCACTGGTGCTCTAACATTGATCGGTTCATGATTTCAATGAAATTTTTGTTACTTTATATCTGCGGAACTTAGATAGACCGAATTATTTTAACTGTATGAATGTGGTTGGTGAAAATTTTAGCAACTACTTTTTTTAATCACTAAAATTAATTCACATTAATACTTGTTTGTATTGTAAACATAAATGCCATAATGAACATGCAGTACATGTGACCAGTGAATAGTTTTTAACACTTGGTACAAGTGTGCAGTTTGTTAATCCAATTTCCACTCATTATAATTCCAATGATTACTACAACTCTATTCGCTTCCGTGGCAACTTAAATGATTATAATATCTTAAAAAAAATTATTTAAGTACATTGGTTATGTGAAAATCTAATAGGATTTAGTATACATTGATTGGTCACCAAGTGAAGAGATATCAATTTGGTTTTTGGCATGGATCGTGATTCTTACCAAATCCTGCTTACAAAAATTACAATTGGGTAATATCATTTACAGTTGTCGATTCAAATCCCATAGTGGTAGAAGTAGTAAGAGTATAAGCATTATGTGAAAGATTAGGGTTTGAAGGAGTATAATTTCACTGTATTATGCTCCTTCAATAACATCTTCAAACCCTAATCTTTCACATAATGCTTATACTCTTACTACTTCTACCACTATGGGATTTGAATCAACAACTGCATATCTGTGTGCCAATGTGATACGGCAACTCGAACTGATGTACGTACGTACGAAGTTATACGTTGTGACTGACTGAATATCATTTAAAACCAAATTTGATAATCTCTTGTGAGATGTTGAAGACAATCGACTGGAAATTCTGGAGTTAAAATTCATACTAGTTAGCCACTTATCAGTAAAATGTTTATATTAAGAGTATGAATATGGGTGATGTCTAGCTACTGTTTGTATTTAAGTAGTATGCTATGAGTGGTAAAGTTCTATTGTAATGGCAATCACATTTCTAAAATCAATTTCTTTCATATGCTTTTTTTCAAATAAATCTCGTCCTTTTCAGATGATTGTTAAATGTCGTATAAAAACCATTTCTAAGTTAAACTAGAAAAGAGTCTTGTAAATCAGTAGAAAATGTCAATTTACAGCTGAATGAATATCCATTTATGAGATATATATGATGTGAATGTAATAATCTTTCAGTTTTGTGCCAGTATTATGCTTAACTATAGTGTATATAACAGATAATTGTTCACGTTTCATCATAGTTCAACCCATTCTTTCTACTATATACATATCGGCTCTGTTATATCTTCGGACCTAATGCGTATACTTAGAAACAGGAATCCCTATGATTCCCACAGCTCAAAATAAGGACACGAAAGACTAATGCAATGGAAATTTATCAACAGTCTGGGATTATGGAGATTGTTAACTTTATTGTAACCATGCATCGATGAATATTAGACCACTATTGAAAACCTGAAAGCACTGGACGACCGTTTCGTATTGTGTGTGTGCTACTTCTATCGACATAAATAATATACACCATGGTTCAGGAATAGAATGTCTGGCAGTAGAATATCGAGAAAGAAAGAACGGGAACTGAAAGCTATTGGCATGGGAATGAAGGGACAGTTTCAGACGATTGATTGACATTTGCAAAGAAACAGTCAAGTTTGGAACAATTGATTGATATTTTGCGTATTAAGCATTTCCTGTTCAGTTCTCAGATTTGACTAATAGATTTTGTAATTTTGTGTTCCAATACATTAGATTATTCCCACTGGTGTTCTTGTTCACTACAAAACTACTATGAGACTCCTTCTTATCAGTGTACATCGACGATCTCAAACATAGTATTCGAATTTAGCACCATTAGTCTCGCTCACGAACACTCAGTGATCTAATGATGAAGTGTTCGTCCGTGAGACCGAGAGTGCTGGATGTAATTCCGCGTTCAGGACCGTGAATGCGCACTGATAAGTAGGAGTCCCATATTAGTACGAAACAGTTGTCCAGTGTTTGCAAGTTTTCAATGATGATCCAACATTGATCGGCTTATGATTTCAATGAAAATGTATTGACTGTCGAAAAACATGTCCTTGAAACAAGTTGTTGAAAGTCACTTGTTTGTTAAATGAAGTACATTCATTGATGTAATGATTTTACACATTATGCATCATATGAATGAAAAGATACACCGGTCTATTGTAAAACACATACAAAGTACACATGAAATAATATGTAGAATACAATGAATAAAAGTTCAAATCTGTCATATATTGAATGAGATTTTGCATTGAATAGTCAATCTATAATCTATATATTGGTTTGAAATAGTGTCATAGTGAATAATGTAAACCCATTATTATTCACTTAGTATTGTTTGTTTGAATCTTCCCATTGATATTTAGGACTACGATTGATCAGTCTCTCTCTAATTGGCATATGTGCATACTGTGCGTATTGCCTTAATATAGCCTTAATTCACAAGCATTATAAGCAAAGATGGATAGTGACTAGCAGTGGAATCCAGTTTGACGCGCGTTTCGTCCTATTCGGGACTTGTCACTAGCTGGATGTACCTGTATCTCAGAGTCGATGTTCGCTCTGGATTCGAACCCATTACTTTTCGCTTCAAACGCTATCGCGTTATCCACTCTGCTACTGAGTCCTGATAACCACCTGCTTGTGCAATGGGGTGAAGTTGAAATTCACTTAGTATTGTTTATTACTATTATTGCTGTGTTGATTGGAATGTCATATTGTTAATGAAACGAATATCATAAAATGTGAACTCTTCTTCTTATCTATCGAATTTTAAAATACTTTGAAATAGATTATACAGATAGATCAATTGAAAGGAACTAAACTGTCATATTTTTATTTATTTATTTATTTAAACACATAAATATTGGTACAAAAAGGCAACAGATATATATGCGCCACACAAATCTTATTTGATTTGTGTGAGGGTTGTGATACTGCTCACGTGCCCAAATGAAGCAGGTGATTTTCTTAGGGTGTCACACACGGAGTCTTTGACCTAAAGGTCTAACCGACAAAGCGGTGGAGCATCGTGAGGAGATGCAGTTCCATGGTAGCCGGTGACCAACAATTGATTCATACACCATTTGTTCCCTCAGGATACTGGAGCCAGCCCATGTGCACCACTGATTTGGAATCAGGGGTTTTCAACTTCCCTAGGTGGACTCGTCATGTCCACTAACCCGGTTAAAGCGCCGGACATTCGTTTTTCGTCATATCAATTTCGTAAACAACAGTAATGCCACTATGATAAGGCAGTGAGTAGGACTTCCCTGGAAGAGTCTATATATGTATGGTCATGTGATAGAATTTGGAGGGGGAAATCGGACTCTCCCCATTCTCATTTATACTAGGGCATTTAGAGGCTTAAAGCTGTCATATCAGAAACATTTAATTAACTGATAGATTTTGATTTGTTGAACATAAATTCCTCTTTTAAAAAAGAAGAAAAAATAGATTATTTCATGTTCTGTACACTTCAAAGGATTACAGACTTAGTGATTAAATGTATATTTTAATTAATGCCGGTTACATTTTTTTTGTGTAGTTTTGAGCAAATGATATCATCATTCTACTTATTGTTGTTATGGTTACCATATGTATACTTTTTAAATATACATATATCCTTTACTCTTCGTTATATTTTTGGTTATCATGAAAGTTTTTAATTTATTTTTTGTTGTTGATAATCTGAACATGAGGAGTCCCACAATTGGACGAAATGCCGTCCAGTGCTTCCAGGTATTTTCATGGTTGTCTAACTTCAATCAACTCATGATCTCATTTATTTTAATAAACAAGAATTTGATATTTTTATATCCCTATCTGTCTATCCGTCTATTTGCTTACATGCATACGTACGTGTGCATATCTCTCTTTGAACATATTTTGAAATAATTATAATTTACATAATTCATGGTTAGTAACTGTCAGCATAATTGATTTTATTCGGTTACATTTAGAATTTGTCTAAAATATGTCTCGATCGTCAGTTGTTCAATGAGAGAATCAATTAATCAGATGATTAGCAATTATAGTTTGATACTAAATATAAGGAGTGAATACGTATAGATTACTGTGATCGATTTTGGAATGATATCAACTGGTGTTTCCAATTATTGATTATGAATATATATATATATATATAGCACGGGCTCCTATCGGGAACTTTACACATGTGGACGTTTCTCAGGTAAACAATCGGTGACTTCATAAACTGATAAAGAGTCTTAGTTTTAGCCAGTCTTGGAGAGCATTGTATGTCTGATGCCTTTTCATCTAAATTGATGAAATTTCACGGCCTCACCAATCTTTAGTATCTAAAGCCTAATTTCAATATTGTTTGTTTTTTGGACCATGGTACGGATAGAAGAGATCTGTGGTCGAATACTAGTAGTCCATGAATGTCTTTTACTTTTATAGGCCGTGTTTCAAAGCCGTATATTAATACAGAGAGAACTACGTCTCATTATACTCCATTGTTAGATGACGGGTCGTAAACTTACACTCATTACAGGCGGCACAATATCCTCACTTAGTCGTTCCACTTTATTTTTTACGATCAGTATCAAAAACATAATCGGATATACTTGCTTGTCTATTTTGTCTATCTGAATTATTTATTGAGATCATGAACCCATCTAAATTAAACGACCATTAGGAACCAAAAAAAAATACTAAATAGCCGTTTCCTTCTAGTACCCATCCAGAACCCTACTACATTGGATCGAATCTAAGATATTCAATCTAGTCCGGGAGTTCTTCACTTCTAGACCAATGAAAAGGTATCCAGTGATGTACAAATCTATTTATGGTAGATTATTAACACATATTTTCTGATTGTATAGACTGTTTTTAATTTGCTTTTTTTTTCAAACAGCTGTAACTGATGCACGTGTTTGGGTATTGGAAAGAGCATGTTTTCAAGCGATTATGATGAAAACTGGTTTGGAACGTATTGAAGAACGTAAAGCATTTCTACGAAGGTTAGTTCATTACTTACATACGTGTGTATTCTTACGAGAAAAACAGCAAAATTATGTAAATATAAACGATCTTATAATTGAATCTCTTGTGAAATCATTATGTGTATTCATGACAATAAAATCATACATTATCAGATTTTTTGTAATCAGGAGATTTTAGTAATTTTATAAAGTTGAGATCGTGAGTCAATTGAGGCTAGACCACCACGAAAATCCTGGAAGCACTGGACGGCCTTTTCGTCCTATTGTGGGACTCCTGAGCAGTACACATCCACGATCCCGCCTCACGGGATTCGGACCGTTGGATGCCGGCCAGCTCAGTGGTCTATCGGTTAAGTGCTCTGGCGCGAGACTGGTAGGTTCTGGGTTCGAATCCCGCAAGGCGGGATCGTGGATGTGCACTGCTGAGGAGTCCCATGATAGGACAGAACGGCCGTCCAGTGCTTCCAGGTTTTTCATGGTGGTCTAGCTTCAATTGACTCATGATTTCAACTATGAAAAGACTCGACTGAATTAATGACTTGTCAAGCCTCCAAACAATCTCACTTCGAGTCCGTTGTGTTTGTTCCTCACATTGATACACTGATATTTGATTTAATAAGCGACATACTTCTCTCCCCTAGATTTTATGTTGACTATGACTGATTCGATGACCGATTATTTGTCATATTTTCTCCCTGTTTATTTAAAACAATTAGTCCTTTTGATAAATTTGGATAATGTAATAGAAGAGGAAGATTATCAGAATCATGTGATATATTAGTATGTTTGTGACTTACAAACTAGGTTGTTTAAACATGTACCTAAATGGTTGCAACAATAAATCAAATCAAATGACCCCAATAAGAATAGATGGTAAACAACCATCGTCCTCTATTGCCAAACATATAGTTGAAACAGACCATAAGTATGATCTGAACTCAGTTTTTCTTGGTTTTGTACAAAATGTTCAAGGGTGTATACTGAGGTTTATTAAGAAGAAAATCGAAACTGTTATATCTTGTAGCCTGTGTGCCTTGTTAATGTATAACGTGGTAATACCGCCACTTAGAGAGCAGTGACTTATCGATCGGACCAATGATGCATAAAACCTGTGCGAGCATTCTAAAGTACTTATCGGTCCTGCTTTCTGCCTAACTCAACCAGTTAAGTCTAGAAAACCAATCTCAGCCTTTGCGGTATGAATCTTTTATTTCAAGCATACCAGGTTTATACAACAACCAGACAGACCAGATCATACCATAAAATAGGGGACAATATTTATACAACATTTAGCCAAATGTGGCTGTGAGCAAGGAAGATAGTAATTGATAAACAGTACATAACTCGAGAATTGTAAATCGTATAATAATAGTTCATAGGTCAAAATACAGCTCGTTATAAGAGGAACATGAATATGAATAGTTTTGTTACTTAACAATTATACAATAGAAAATATACCCATATTATTGATCCATAAATGGATCCCTAAATCATGCATCGATGAATATTAGACCACTATTGAAAACCTGAAAACACTGGACGACTGTTTCATCCTAGTACAGGACTCCTCTTTATCAGTGTGCATCGACGATCACGCACGTGGGATTCGAATCCAGCACCTTTGGTCTCGCTCACGAACACTCAGTGATCTAGAGATGAAGTGTTCGCCCATGAGACCGAGAGTGCTGGATGGAATTCCCTGTGCATGACCTTGAATGTACACTGATAAGTAGGAGTCCCATACTAGTACGAAACAGTTGTCCAGTATTTCCAAGTTTTAGATGGTGATCCAACATTGATCGGTTTATGATTTCAATGAAAATGTATTGACTGTCGAAAAACATGTCCTTGTAACAAGTTGTTGAAAGTCACTTGTTTGTTAAACGAAGTACATTTATTTATGTAATGATTTTACACACATTTGATTATCAGTATAACTATGAAAAGATACACGAGTCTATTGTAAATTACATAAAAAGTACACACGGCATATTATGTAGAATACAATGAATGAAAGTTCAAATCTGTCATATATTGAATGAGATTTTGCATTGAATAAAAATAATCTATAATCTATATATTGGTTTGAAATAGTGTCATAGTGAATAATGTAAACCCATTATTATTATTATTATTATTATTATTATTATTATTATTATTATTATTATTATTATTATTATTATTATTATTATTATTATTATTAACAGCATTGATTTGAATGTCATATTGTTAGTATATAGCGTATATAGCCTCTGTCAGGGAAGTCCTACTCACTGCCTTTTCGTGGCATTACTGTTGTTTACGAAATTGAGAGGACGAAAAGCGAATGTTTGGCGCTTTAACCGAGTTGGTGGACAGCCTCCATGTTCATCTAGGGGAGTTGGAAAACCTTGATTCCAAACCAATGGTGAACATGGGCTGGCTCCAGTATCCTGAGGGAACAAATGGCGTATGAAACAATTGTTGGTCACAGGCTACCATGGGACTGCATCTCCTCACGATGCTCCACTGCCTTGTGGATCAGACCTTTATGTGAAAGGCTCCGGGTGTGGTAGTATCATAGCCCTCATACAAATCAAATGAGATTTGTGTGACGCATATGTATCTGGTGCCCGTTTGTACCAATATTTATGTGTTTAAGTAAATAAATAAACATATTGTTAGTGAAACGAATGTCATGAAATTTTATTACCGAGAGGAAATGTGAAGTCACCTTCTTACCTTGTATCAATCTACTGCAATTTTTTAACAATTTTTTACACTGTACCAATTCAATAATCTTTCAATCGGCAAGCAGTCGTTTGATCGATCGTTAAACTCACTCTACATTTTATTATTCTTTCTTATTTTGTTTGTTTTTTACTATACAGTGTCCCACTGCTCAAAGATTTATCACCTAATCGAATATTACGAATAGCTGATGCATTAGAGGCTCAATACCATTCGGCTGGTGATTGTATCATAAGGCAAGGTGAACTGGCTGACAGCTTCTTTTTAATTCAATCTGGAAAGGTAAGGAAATTCATTTATGGAATCAATTATAGCGCATTAGTATGGAGTCTTAGGAAATGACTGAATTTTATTGATATAACGAACCGATCTAAATTGAACAGCCAATAAAAATCTTCCAACACTGGACGGCCGTTTCGTCTCAGGATGAAACTCGTCAGGAGTGCGGATCTGTGATGCTGGCAATAGGGAAGAAACCTCAGTTGGGTTTGTGATACCCTTTCGATTGACTACCTTGGTTGCGTTTTAGCTTACATTCGTAGACATTTCTTCAATCTTGAAAAAACTGTTACCCTCAGTGGTATTCGAACTAGCATCACCAACTTTCAGAGATAGTACCACTAAGCTTTAAGGCGAAATTTTAATCAGACTTTCTCATGATAGCTTTGTGATTTGTGTGGTTGTGCCTCACAAATTAACACAGGTGATTGATGAGGACCAGACTAACCCACCACTCTGTAGTAAATTCTGGTGTCATCTATGGTTGTATGTTCGCTATGGAATACCCTAGTCATGTGACTATGTATTTTTCGTCTTCATGTAATATCCATTTGACAAACCAAAAGGAGTAGCTTCCATCCTATCATCTCAATTGTATCAGATCTAGCATTGGGTCCCATGTTTTTGATGGTCACCCCTCTCCTACATATAGTCATGTTTCCCTGGAAACATAAATTTTTTCAAAAGTCTGTTTGAAATTAGTTGTGAAGATAATGTGTATTCAACAATATGAATATTAAAAATTATTCATGTTGATATTAATAGATTCTATAGACCAATTTTAAGAAAATACTTGAACCACTGGATATTTATTCTATCCTAGTAAGGGACTCTTCATGTCCATGTTCGTGTCATCGGAAATCGGATCCATAGGGTCACTTCGGTGTTGATAAGCCTTTTAATTGGACGCTAGGTTCAGTTCCTAAGCTCTTCTAGTAAAACCCACCTCTAAATCTACACAGCGACTTAAACACGAGAGAAAAGGCTCGACATATAGAAAAAACGCTTCACGCCAAAGTTCGTTTATGTACAGAAAATTTAAGGCATTTGCAGTATTTTAGATGGTTTTGAGTCTCCTGAAATTTCTGAAACGCTACTAAACATAGTAGCAGTATAGGTAATCATCTAATCAGAAACGTGACGCGTGACTTTTCGCTTTCTAGATGCTTCTGGCCAAAATTCTATTGAATGCTGGTTGGACAAAATGTTCCTCAGCGTTTTCAGTTTTCTTTTCACTTTTTTCGAGGAATTTCCTGGATCTCCCCAACACCTTTCTGGATTACTAATTAGTTATCATCGTAACATTCTTCTTTATATTTCTTCTTTATATTCATCCGATTGGACAAATACCTCGTGTCTATGAACAACTATATTCATCTTAACGTTTTCCACTAACTCATATCATTACATCAACCCCCCCCCCAATATTTGATATTTCTCAACAGTTTTTGACACAACACCACTCAATAAGCTACCATACATTCTAAATTATTATAAATATGATTGTGAGACTTTTGGTGTGTAACGACAATGGAATAACAGTGAGTCGTTATTTCGGAACATCTTTGAAGCTTAACAAACAGTATCTTAGAAGATAAAAGGAGTGAAGGTTAATATGTAGTGATATTGGTTCTCAGCCAGATAATCCATGGAGCCGAACATACAATCACTGAGGAGATCTACATGAAACGCTGAAAACTTGGAGCAGGTCATATATTGTGAACTCAGGAGAACTTAATCGAGACGGCATGGCTCGGCCATACAGATTTAATCACTCTGTGTCTTTTCATTCTTTGTGTTAAACGTATTATTTTATCATTAAGCTTGCTTGTATTCTTTAATGTTTCTTGCAAAACAGTACTACTGTTTACCATGATAGGGCAAGTCAAGTTATGTAACAGTTGTGTAACTTCAACTCAAGATCATATTTCTTGAGTAGTCACATCATGGCCAGTCAAATATATTATACTAGGGCTATTAGTCTAGGGGTATAAATAAGTTAACCAATGCTGATTTTAGATCTAAGTTCCAAACGTAAGTGATATTTGTCGTAAAAGGCATTTTCTTTGCTAAACTTTGATTATTTTCTAGTATGAATTTTGTTGAATTTATAAATTTGTCATTTATTGCTGTTGTTTTGTGTTACACACACACACACACACACACATTAAGGTTCGAGTCACTATATCCTCACCTCAAAATGGTTCAAATGAAACCAAAGAAACTGAAATTAGACAATTAACCAAAGGTGAATATTTTGGTGAAAAAGCATTGCTCGGTGAGGGTCGTCGAACAGCAAATGTTTATGCTGTTGGTCCTGGTGGTGTTGAAGTGTTATGTTTATATCGAAAGTAAGTTACTTTTATGCAATGAACTATTCAATAAGCAAGGAGGTACTGTTAAACTTATTCATCTTACCGAGCTTGAGATTTTTGTGTCTGTGTTTGTGAAATGCATTTGAGATGTTTTCTTTCAATAAATAGTATAACAACAACTCTACATTATCATGCATATGGCGCTTAGATTTTCATCACTGAGCAAACTAGTTGCTAACACATTCATATGCTCTTTCCATTAAGTATGCGGACTGGGCTACATAGGTCTCTTATTTGTAGACACAATTAAACAAAGGATTAATCTAGTTCTATCTAAAATGCTCAACGTTTTGAATAGATCTGATACTGCTACCTCAATATTATTCCAGTTACTAATCGATGGAGGCGTGGGTTTTTCTTATTAGACCGTTTGATCATTTACTTATCAGTATGCTTCAAATTCACTTGAACGTTTTAGCTCCTACACCGTAAGCAGCACCTCTTCGATGAAATATATATTCGCGATACAAGTTAAGAATAGAATTCAGAGTCCTGGAAGTTCTGTTTGTCTTATTACATCCAACTACTTCTATGGTAACAGTTTCATAGGCGAGATGATTTAGCGAACCCATTGACGCTTTTTCTAACAATTATTCATTATGGTTATATAAAAGCCCAATAGAGAATATTTGAAAATGTTCATCATTTTCTCATCCCGTTTATTAAAAAGCAAATGATCTACAAAAAAACTCCACATTCAACATTAACATCTACATATTACCGGTGAAGATTCCAAAGTTCATACGCGTCTCCGTTTACTGACCAAAGCGAACGCAGTTTTCACCCATATTTATGCATACACAAATAATTTGTTCCGATCTCTTTGCTTCTACATGACATTCAGACCTACCATGAAGTCGTTGTTTACTCCTGTCATATCTTATAAGTGTATGTGTATGTGCCTCTAGTATTTCTATTTTCACAGTTATTATCAGTCAAGATTTCCCATCTTTTTTTCATAGTTCAGAAGGGGTTTTGTGGATATTTCAATATTTTCATATTTGAAATCACGAGTTAATTGAAGCTAGATCACCATGGAAAACCTGGAAGCACTGAACGGCCGTTTCGTCCTATTATGGGGCTCCTCAGCAGCGCGCATCCGCGATCCCGCACTTGCGGGATTCGAACCCAGTACCTACTAGTTTCGCGCCAGAGCACTTAACCGATAGACCACTGAGCCGGCATCCAACGGTGTTAATGTCTAACTTCAACCGATTCACAAAGTTGTTGTAATTCATTTACTTCGTGATATAAATGACAAAACTCTTGTTCAGTTGTGTAACATTCCTAATGAAAGTCGGTTACATCTCTTAACTAACTAACTGGCGGCTACTCAATAGTTCACGTAAAATAGCTACCCGGTATTTCCAGGTTTTCAATGATGGTTTAAATAAGATCACTTCGTGATTTAATCTGTAGGTTCAGTAAATACTCTAACTGTGACAAACAGTGTATTATAGAGAACTCAGATTACAACAATCTGCCTCGACTATTCATGTTTTGTCATCTGTTACTTTCTGACTTTGTACTTGTAGAACTATGGTTTAGTTCTTTAAACTTTTTGACAGCAAATTTGAAAGGAACTTCACACATAATTTAATCAGTTACAAACGCTTTGTTAGAATTGTGTGTATAGACGATTTTTACCAAACCTAGTCATTGGATAATAATAGAGATCAAATCACATTCGTTCAACGTTTTCATAACCACAGTAGATCCAGTGGTGTTGTCTTGGCATTGGATCTTCATGTCCTTCACTGAAATTCTCTATCCACTTAGAAACAGCTGTTTTCCTTCACAATAGCATTATATTCATAAACATACCAGTTGTTATTTCATGAATTTCTTGAGAGATTATTTTCCCTATGCTTCAACAACGTTTAAAAATTATCAAAAGGGGGTTTGGTGGAGATTTTTTAGTAATTTTATATAGTTGAGATCATGAGTCAATTGAAGCTACACCACCATGGAAAACCTGGAAGCACTGGATGGCCGTTTTGTCATATTGTGGGACTCCTTAGCACTGCTCATCCACGATCCCGCCTCGTGGGATTCCAGGTTTTCCATGGTGGTCTGGCGTCAATTGACTCATGATCTCAACTATGTAAAACGTTTCACAAGTTCATTTCGTGTATTTAGTGAACAGATAATATGTACGACCGTTTGCAATCAGTTAAATGAATTACATTGTTTGTTTTTATTCGGAGTAAGTCATTTTGTAATGAAATATCTTCTCTTATTTATATCATATTTCAGAGACTTCTTGGAATTGATTGGTGATATACAGGAATTAAAAAATAAAGAATATGCCGATGAAGAAACACGATTATTAGGCCATAGGTGAGTTTATAGGGGGATATTTTTAATAATTTAAGTTGTTCAGTGTTCCATTTCTCCAAATAGATTGATTGACTATTGAGTAGTAAGATCAGTTTTGTTTCTATCCAGTCCTTTCAGTTGTAATCGAATGCCATTTGGTGAACTGGCATTGTGGCAACGACCGCTAGTCTAGCATTAAGGGGCTCAACATTACACGCTCTGTTTTTATATTTCGCGATAAAAAGTATTCCAGAGAGAACCCTACTCGACCTAGATTTCCTGCTAGTTGACACTTGTTCTAATGGCGTACCTGCGACCTTAAAGAAACTTACATTCACGATAACTTTTGAATTCACCTCACGTAGCTTCGCTGACTGAGACACTAACATTGAGCTATTTTGGCCTCTTAAATAAACATTTACGATGTAGGAAGTATATGACATTTAAACTTACATTGTTAGTTTTATCCATTGAAGATGTGATAAGGTTTTACATATATCCCATCAGTATTATCATTAACAACATTTCTGATTATACATGGATAGATTGATAAGTAGATCTATATGAAAAAAGGGTGATATGATAGGAGCATTATCGTCCCGTAAAGAATTAATTCTTTTAGATACAGTGTGTGGTGAAATGAGTACATATACATATTTTTTTCTCCTACAGTGTATTTGTACATGTGATCAGAAGTATATTGAGAAGAATTTTGGGATAACTGTGAATTCTTTTGTCCTTTAGATGTTGGCTTATCCTATGTGGAAACTTCATGCTACTTGGTGATAATAACCAGGTTTCACACAGTCATTAGGGTCAATTTCTTAATACCAATTTTATGAAGAATAGATGGGATGTGGTTGATTTTGAAATCTCGGACTCACATTTCGTCTTAATTGGGACTCATCAGTCAAGTGTACATGCATCCTAGAGTTGTTGTCAATTCCGGCCATTGAACTTAGCATCATTCGGTTCACAAATCCTGGTGATGAGTCCCAAATATAACGAGATGTTTATTCAACCACGACTGGGAAAATATCAGTCAAAATATCAACAATAGAAAAATCCAAACCATTACAATTTAAATTGAAATCAATATCTAACAAATTTCATAGGACTATTAGTAAACACAAACTCTTGTTAATTTGTACAAACGAAGTAATCTATATATATATATACCATGGTACAGCGGAGGCTACTGTAATTCGGAATAGTCTGATTGATACTATGGAAGAGTGCAAAGGTATATTCTTCCAATACTATTTAAACAGAGCCACTTCATACAGTGTTACTGTTCGTATCTTAATCACAAGGTACCTTCCCTCCGGGTTATTTTTCCACTAGATAACTTCAAAAGTTACGTTAGCCTTCATATGAAAATCTTTGGAATTTTTATTCTTCTTTAGTTTATATATTATATACACATCCACGTTCACCAGGATCGCAATCGAAACTGTTACCTTGATGTAGTGGTCGGTTTTGTATATCGTAATACCTCAGTCTAGTTATTTTATCTGAAATAATTGTTTCTTCAGGTTTTATCATTCCACGCAGGTCGATTGAAGAACGGTGGAGTTAAAACTAGCAACCTAAGGCCCAAGGACAAAGCTGTACTACCAACTGTTCAGAATTATGGCCTCAGTACAGTGTTTCTTTCAGAAAACTAGCATACTCACAAAGGAAGAATGAGGTTAGATTAGGTTGAACCTAAAAAAGGTGTTATATCTCACCATACCCCACAGATTATTGTTTCCGGATATAAGGGGTTATCAGTATTAAGCTAACGCACCGAGAATTTCCTATAAAAATTTCATGTGTGGTTAGCTTTAAGTAATTGTCCCTTCGACTTTGTAGACACGCTCCCAGGTCTTCACGACCACCCATAACCCAGTTTCCTTTTCTGATTTTTCAAGAAATATCTTTCCACATTGTAGACATCCAAGTAGTGAAAGTCGCTCAGATACCTTTAACAACATCCGAAATCACTTTTCTCACCAGGATTAACTACTGTCAGGTTGATCTAATGAAATTCCATATTGTTTTTTCAAGACCAATCCTTCATTACATAGGACTATTGTGTAGTAGTTTAGCAGTATGTCATTGAAAGTCAACAACCGTTCATTTCCATTATATTCAAAGAAATTTTAACTATTTTATTACATTATTGGATCCTGTCTTTTATAATAACTGATTTCATAATACAATTATCCTCTCCAAAATACACCGCTAACTTGGTCACGTAAATCTTCCACTGTAATAGCGTTCATTCTCTATCTTTAAATACCCCATCTAAGGCTTGACTACTGGTTCCAGTTCGTTTACTTTTGCCCAACACAAATTAAGATAAATGAAACTCCAGTATCTCTCAGCACTTGGAGCTCTATGTATTTCACAGAATACTTATCTTTTCATTCCAATTCCGATGTGAATTCAAACTTATCGTCCACTGATTAATTATTCCAAACCAAATAAGCCAGTCATCTTCGTTACGATTAAATCGATTTGTTTCTTCTGATATACAATTACAGATTGTTTACCCCAAAAGATTAGAGATATACCTTATTAATAATTGCTAAATAATACGAAATCTAGTTGAAGCACGATTTCTTGTCGACCGTCTACCTACGAACGCTTAATATCGATTTCTTCCCGACTTATTGTTCACCTATTGAGAGCAACTGTATTTTATGTGTATGTGTGTATGTGTTTATAAATTATCACAATTTTGTTTTTTGAAAATTTATCTTACAGTTCATTTTCACAGAATTCATCCATTGCTACTATAAGCACAAAAGATACTGGTAAATTAGATTTAGCTTCATCAACAAAAAGTCAAGATGAATTACATACAAAATTGGGTTTAATTAATCAACCATTACTACCGGCTAGTTTATTATTACAACCAAAAATTCAATGTAATATACTACTGAAAGATTTAGAACGTATTTGTGTGCTGGGTGTTGGTGGTTTCGGTCGAGTGGATTTAGTAAGTTCAAATTATATGTATAATATTATGTGACTGTAGTTTTTTAATAGTTGAACTCATTAGTCGGTTAAAGCTAGATCACCATGGAAAACCTGAAAGCACTGGATAGCCGTTTCTTCCTAGTATGGGACTCCTCTTCAGCAGTGCGCATCCAAGATTCCATACATGGGAATCGAACACGGGACCTTCGGTCTCGCGCGCGAACTCAACAACCTAATTAATAATGAATTTGTGATTCGAAACAACCACTGAAATGTCTGTACATTCAAATAGGAAAGTTGACTAGTTTTATCTCATCCAGGACTTATCAGATGGATGTATCTGCACTTCAGTGTTAATGTTTATCCTGGCACTGATACTCATCGCTTTTCACTTCAAACGCTTAACGCCTTATTGAAATAGCTACTAAGTTCAGATAGCCATTTACATATGCTCAGGAGTTCCAAATTCGATAAAACATACATCCTGGAATCCTCTGCTGACCACTATTCAACTCTGCTTAAAATCTAAGAATATTGAGACCGATCCATACAGGATGCATATATGTCCAAAAAAACGGCTGATCAATTACAGTCCTTCATATCATCTCCTGCGAGAAGATACTTGTGTTTGTTTCCCTTATATCCATTTATTATAAAGAAGAGATATCGACTGATGACATGAGTTTATATTTGTTTATTGTTTACATTCTTAACATTTAAAGAGTGAATTAGTGAATGTTTGTGATAGATACGTCATGGATAGCTAGCTAGGAGTGAAAGTGTTTGAAGTATGGAATGCATTAATTTGTTTTGCTATTAAAAGAGTGCTATACATGTTATATGCTTCATATAAATTTAGTAATTATCCATTCAAGAATTATCCATTTGTCCATGAACTTGTTTTCATTTCATATTCTCTCTTCTTTCACCTCCTCCCCCTTTTCTGTTTGACTTATTTACATTACAGTCAATCTGAATTAGATTTTTTTTTTCTGATAATGTAAATGATATTGAAAAGAAGATTTATCTAATGTGTTTGTTTGTTTGTTTGTTTGTTTACTTAATGACTGTTTACCCTTATTTTAATCAGTGTGAAACGAAAGTGAAAAGACTTCTACCTCCCTCCCTCCCTCCCTCCCTCCCTCTCTCTCTCTCTGTGTATGCACATCATACACATTATTTCTATCCAGATAAACAAAGATAGTCCAATGGTTTACACATCTGTTAAAAAGTTATGTAATCAGCCGATATTTCTTATTTGTTTAGAAATGTGATATTTGACCATAGTGGAACCACTTATCAATGAATTGAATATTGAAATGTTAGGTAAACTATTTTCTTTTTTGACATATATTTCAATTGGATACCGTTTAATAAGATGTTGATAGGACGCAGAGTTGACGTAAATCATATTATAAATGTATTTCCTGGAGTTATAGTAAGAAGCAGTGATCAATGGACTTCAACTGGGTCTGTTGTGGGATAGTAACTCACTGAAGACAATGGTCGACGGTGCCTCGATTTCGTGGATTGGTTGAAGTTAGACATTAACACCGCTGGATGCCGGACGATTTAGTGGTGTATAGGTTAAGCGTTCGCGCGAGAGACCGAAGGTCCTGTGTTCGAGTCCCGTGTGTGGAATTGTGGATGTGCACTGATGAAGAGGAGTCTTATACTAGGAGGAAACGGCCGTCCAGTGCATTCAGGTTTTCCATAGTGATCTAGCTTCAATTGACTCATAAACTGAACCATTAAATTACTATGATATTCACAAAACCCCTTTCTGATAACAAATATAGATTTTAAATCAGGGACTTAGTCAGAGTAACATTGAAAATCTGAAATCACTGAACGTCCATTTCGTTTTAGTACTCCAGCAGTGTGCATAAACAACTTCAGGAATGAAATCCAGGAATTTCAGTCTTCTAAATTTATTTGTATAAAATCGTTCAACGTATTGAACAATGATCTGATCAGACAATTGCTCGTCAAGGCATTTTTTTGTATGAAAACATAGCTAAGCAGAACTGAAGGTGATAGAACTTACTTACTTACTTACGTCTGTTACTCTCAATGGAGCATAGGCCGCCGCCGAGCATTCTCCAACCCACTCTGTCCTGGGCCTTCCTTTCTAATTCTATCCAACTTTTGTTCATTCTACTCATGTATGTCTCCATTTCTCGGCGTGATCTTCCTCTTTTCCCTTGGCCTCCAGGATTCATGTGAAGGCTTGTCTTTTGACGCAGTTAAGTGCTTTCCTCAATATGTGTCCAAGGTGATAAAACATGTATGCCAAAATAACTTCATAACAAATCCAAGATGAGTGCATATAGGTTAAACAACAATAATAATACTTTACTATTGTTAAATTGCTAATTAAAATAGGTTAAAAATTGAGCCTTCAACACAATTTTCATCTATTCAAATATGGAAATTAACAAGACTGTATTCTCTTAGATGTTTCTGAACAAAAAGCTTTGACCATTAGTAGAACAATTCACTTTTATGTATACAAAAAAAACACAAAACATTTTGATCGTATCTTGAACTTGTCCTTCATACATTTTACTCTTAGAACTTATAAGTGATGATGTGACAACTTTCCATTCTATCATGTCTTCTTTCCCCTTAATATACAATAATAACTTTGTGTACTTATACAACCTTTTTATTGACCATAATTAATTACGTATAGGAAAAAAGAACAACTTTAAAATGGAAATACGCATTATGCAAATAATGATACACTTGACTTTTTCACCTTAACCATGTCTTTCTCCCCCCTATTACACACTTAATGAAGAAAATTGTTTGATTTCACAAATCATTATTGTTAGTATTTAGGAGAAGGTTTTTTCTTTAGAATTAAACAGATAAATGGGGTTTTTGTGGAAATTTTTAGTAATTTTTATATATAGTTGAAATCATGGGTCAATTGAAGCTAGATCACCATGGAAAACATGGGAGCACTGGACGGCTGTTTCGTTCTATTGTGGGACTCCTCAACGGTGCATATCCACGATCCTGCCTCACGAGATTTGAACCCAGGACCTGTCAGTCTCGCGCGTGAGCGCTCAACCACCAGACCACCACTAGTGACTGGCTCCATTAGGTATTTCCTGAAGTTCTAATGAGAAGCAGTAACCAGTGGAGTTCAACCAGGTCTGTTGTGAGATAGTAACTCACTGAAGACAATGGTCGGCGGTGCCTTAATTTAGTGGATTGGTTGAAGTTAGACATTAATACGTTGGATGACGGCTCAATGGTCTATCGGTTAAGTGCTTGCACGCGAGACTGATAGGTCCTGGGTTGGAATCTCGCGAGGCGGGATCGTGGGTGCGCACTGCTGAGGAATCCCACAATAGGACGAAACAGCCGTCCAGAGCTCCCAGGTTTTCCATGGTGGTCTGGCTTCAATTGACTCATGATTTCAACTATATATAAACAGATAAATGTCAAACTGACCCTAAACTACACGTACATGTAAATACATCATATTACTGATAGAATTACTATGTGTATAACATATAACGAACAATATAACAATTTTATTTGGATGATATTTCTTAAAAGCTATCTAGCTTATTGTTACTGTTTAAGTGCTTAAATTATGTATGTATGTTGGATACTTCTACCCTGTTGACTAGATAGGTTGAACATCTAGTGATACATAAATGACATTTGAATAATGTGGCTATCACGTGTAAGAGACATGAGACTTCTCAAGAGTCCTTTTAAATATCAATGAAAGACACGTAAATGGTTAAAAACCATAGCCTACCTCAATGCACGATATTTGATGCTGCAGAAGTAGGTTTGAAGAAGGGTAGAGAAATTAGACTAAAAACATGGCATCAGTCCATGAAATCATTAATTGTTGGAATGGACTATGTTGATAAATACAGACTATTTGTTTGAGGTCTGTGTTATAAGTGCAGTCAGTGATTAGAAATTTTGGGTGACGTTGCTCAGAATTATTCATCATGACATAGATGCATTCACTCTTTATCTTCTCTTTAATATTGAATTCCAGTATCCCTTCATACATACGTTTCGATTCTATCTCTCAGTCTACATTCTCAAGGTTTAGTCTTTCTTTTTGTCATTACAACTTTATTATTCCGATATCTTCTGCTATTTTTATCCTGTCTCGCTAATATGTTATGGCAACTGGAATCAATGTACATCTGTACCGGTCTCTATGCTGATGATCTCAGCATCTGCCTACATCGCAATATATATCCATTTCGCTCCAAAGCATTTTCACATCATAACTGATACTAGTTCATGATGAAAACTCTAAACCTAAACCTTTAACCCTTACCCTTTATACTGATCTCTGATAAAAAACAATGTGGAGACTTTTCGAGATCTATTTGTATTTTTTAATGTTTAGGGATAAGTGGTAATCTTTGTTCATGAGGACGAGTTTTTATGTCATCTTTTTCGATTTGCAGGTAGAAGAGCTTGTATAATACGTTTATAGGATTCATTAATTATGTAAAATCTGCTTACATTTAATAATCTTGTCTTTTTTTCCATAAACTATCCATTAACGAAGTCTGTTTTCTGATTAGTTAAGAACTGATTGAAAATAGGTCAAGGTTGTTTTAAGTTAATCTCTGTACTATATTCGAGATACGTGTCCGTGAGTTTATAGTGCATCTGTTCTTCAATGATCAATATGTGTGTAATATGTAGCATTTTCTTTGTGGTTAATACACATGAGAGTATAGTTTTCATTCCATTCGTTAAGTTGGGATTCACTATACAGTAGAATATTCAAAGAAGATAGATAATCGTAAATAATTGAACTGAAATTTCAATTGAAAACTATACTTTTATATCCAGTACTCATCCATCAAATGAACGGAAAAGGTGATCGAAAAATGTTAGATATCAGTCTTTGTTTTGTGAACATTGAAAAATGATAGTTATCTTCACAGTTATCATTCTTTCTATAAAAATGAATATCAAAACTTGATCAACTTGATTTAATGAACTTGGAAATAATTTATCATACTTTATAGAATAAAGCCTGAGTAACAATACCAGGATATTTGAAATGCGTTTCTCCTCCTCTAAATGTAAATTGTTACTCCAGGACTGGCCTCCGTCAACATCTGAACTAAGGATAGGGAGTGAAGTAGTCGAACGCGTCGACAACTTCACTGATCTCAGAGGTCTGGTCAGGCCCAACTGGTTGGTGTCTGATGAAATTTCAACACGGATTCAGAAAGCTCGTCACCTATGACGAAGACGAGATATCCGTCTATCAACTAAGGGACGAGTATACTGCGCAGTAGTTCGCTCTGTTCTACTTTACGGCTGTGAAGTGTGGCCATTAAGAGTAGGAGATACTCGCAAGTTACTCCTATTTGACACAAATGCCATAGAAATATCACTCGTATCTGCTGGGATCACCGGGCAAGTAATAGTGAGCTTAGACACAGGGTATTAGGGAATGATGGTAAATCAGTTGATGTGGTCATGAATCTTCATCGACTGAGATGGCTGGGACACGTGTTACGTATGCCTGAACCTTGATTACCACGACATGCAATAATGACTAGTGTTGGTGATGGTTGGAAAAGAGTTAGGGGTAGCCAAACCAAAATGTGGCATCAGAGCTTGAAGTCACTAACTTCTAGTCTGAGCCATCTTGGTAGATGCAGACTATCTGGTTGGGGTCCGCGTGACTATCGTGGGCGATGTGGCTCAGAATCAATTACGATGGCGTGGGTGTATGCACTCTTTACCTTCCATGAAACTAGGAAATTAAAATTGCTTTATATATTTCTTTCTTCATGTACTATACCCTTATACAAAAACTTTCTTTTATATATTACCACCATTAAATGAACCAATTATATGATTTCGGTGTTCATTTTGTTGTGGTAATGAGGTATGGTAACTTGAACCGATGCATAAATGTGCCTGGTCCTACGTTGTAGCTGACTGATTGACTGATAGAATGAAGCATTTAATAAGTATTATAGAAGGTGATCTATAATGATTCATTTATCTGTACATCGTACATGGTTGGAGACTCTAGGTGACATGGCTCAGAATCGATCACAATGGCGTAGGTGTATACACTCTTTATCTTCCCTTAAACCTTGAGATTAAAATTGCTTCATATCTCTCTTCCTTCCTGTACTATATCCTTCTATACAATCTTTCTTTATATACTACCATCACTAAATTAATTGCTTCTATGAATCCGGTGTTCATCTTGTTGTGCTAAAGAGGTATGGCAACTTGGACCGATGCATATATGTGCCTGGTCCTACGTTGTAGCTGACTGACTGACATCGTTTGAATATTGTAATTTTTATAATAAATTATATAATACTTCTCTTTTTTCAAGGTAACATTAACAAATGATCGTACTCAAGCATTTGCATTAAAACGATTACAAAAAGCACATATTGTACAAACACGTCAACAAGAACATGTATATTGTGAAAAATTAATTCTTTCATCTGTTTCATCACCGTTTATTTGTCGGTAAGTTAATTTGTAAATCAATAGTATTTTGTTTATTTTTTTTGTAAAGTCTATTAGTTTCTTTTTTTATAAATCTCTTTTCGAACTAGTTCCCTGGGTGTCATATTTGGTTTCATTGTTTTTCACTAAAGTATCTTACTCCTACTGATTGATTATTGACTGAGATAAAGTTTCATCTCTCCCTTTTTTGTTGGTGTCCATCATTTTTTACTGTGTAATAAACAACTCATAAACCCTAATTTCCTTAACGTCATAATAAGAGAAAAGATAAGACAGTCTTCAATAAGAGTGCTTTTCTATTCCCTGAAGAAGTCATAATGTGATACAATAAATATATTTAGTATTATTTTTGAGGGATTTCTGGAAATTGTAGAATTTACATTGTTTAAATCACGAACTAACCTTAATTAGATCACCACTGATAATCTGATAGCACTGAACAGCCGTTTCGTCCCAGTGTAGGACTCTTTACTGGTGCGCATCCACGAACTTTCAAACAAGATGAGGGTTGTGTAGTATTATGAATTAATTTAAATTATACATTAACACTATTGGATACCAGTTCAGTGGTTTAGAGGTTACGCGTCCGCGTGGGAGATTGAAATTCCTGGATTCGATTCCTTGTGATGAAGTCGTAGATGTATACTTCCGAGGAGTCCCTTTCTATGACGAAATGACTGCCTGGTTATTCCAGGTTTTTAATGCTAATCTAACTAAAGTCAATTCGTGGCTTAAACTAAAAAAATTTGTTTAATATCGGGGTAGCAATAACTTTGGAAATATCATAAGATAGCGAACTAGTAGTGAAAGTAACTAGTCAAGGATCAATGGGAAGTCATTAAATTAACTTACTTGCCTGAACTGCAAGTTATTAATAGTAGAAGCTGAATAGGTTGATCCCTTCCTAGTATAAACACGTTTGCAAAGTCGTCAGATGTTAGGTTCTTCTTCAGTTGGTTTATCATTTGGTGTTTTTATTGATGCCATCCCATGCTTTGTAATTACAAGTTGATGACATACTCGTAGGAACGTATTTTGTTCCCTTTCGGGCTTCCAATCAGATGTTAGTAAGTACTAACCATAAGTCTATTTTCACATAAAGTTTTGTCTGTCTGAAATATTTTGCTAAATTTGTTTCCACATACGATTTTCGTTCTCGAATTTATTTGATTGATAATGATATGAATATAGAAAATTGGTGGTCAGAATACATAAGAGACTTTCAGCATTCGATTTTTCTTGTATTCGTTAGATGCAACGTGTTAGTTAGTCGTAATTTAGATTGGATTGTAGAGTCTTGTGTAATCGTGACATCGATGTACACGTAAGATTGGACATATGATCTACAAGAAACAGTAGGAAAAATCTGAACACATTAGATACCATGGTTGATGATTACCATTAGGGTACTCGAACAATGTATGATGAAATAATTTTACATAAGTAATAAAACTGCTTATCAATGTAGAGTTGTAGAGATCATGAACCGATCAATGTTTGGCCACCATTAGATGCCGGTTTAGTAGTCTAGAGGTTAAGTGTTCGCACGCGAAACCGAAGGTCTTGGGTTCGAATCCAACGTGCGTGCTCGTGGATACTCGCCACTGAGGAGGAGTTACCATATTAGAATGAAGTGGCTGTGCAGTGCTTACATGTTTTCAATGATGATCTTAAATTGATCGGTTCATTATCTCAATGAAATTGCGATGACTCGATATCAACATCTAAATGGGGGGTATAATAATAACTTCATACGTATTGTTAGTAGTGAGAGATTTGTGAAGTCTCATTTAAAATTTATAGTTTACCTCACTCTGGAGTTTATTTCAACTATACAATCTTTTGTCAAAACCAGGTAACATTGAGTAATTATTTTGAATTATTTCGATAGTTCATACTTATGACTTCATCAGACAGAGATCGAACCTCCAAGAACTTCATATATCACAACAACAGTATTACATATAGGCTGTTGATTTGCCATTTGCCACGTTCATTTTGCAATTTCAGTCAATTTTTTATATTGGATTATAATTGTCCATTGTGGCTGTTAATACCCTGATCGTTTAATTTTAAAACAACCGGTTGGTGTTAAAGTACTAACTCTTTGTTGTGATTTCTGTTATGTAAGTAAATGGTTGACTAATCAAATTATACGGTCACCTATGCTAACAATAAAAATAATAATGGGAATGCCGTGATTGGTGAATTTCGAATAGGTTGAATGTAAGACAGGTAGCAACGATGATGAATCAACTGAGGTTAAGATTGTAAACCACTTGACACTAAAGCCTTTACTTTTCCGATTAGACTTGAAAATTTTGGGTTCGATCTCCGATAGATTCGTGAATAAGTCCTGTTAATGAGAAATCCCAAAATAACATAAAACAATGACTTGTTTTAGAAAATTCGGTTCATGAAATATACTCATATGTATCTACTTACCTTTAAGATGATATAAAGGGATATCTCATGTAGAAACGACTTCCTTTGATCAACTCATATTAATGATAATAGTGTTCAGTTGTACAGAGGTTTTTCAATGCCTATACTCCTTCACGAGGAGTGACAGGTGTAAGTAAGTAGTTTAATTAACCTGTGAGAATTGATTACGCATGCAAACGCGTTGACAACTATATACGTCAGTGTAGTTTTGTCTTATTACTTCTATTTAAAACATATTACAGTTTGAAGTTTTACATATATACATGGTTATTAATAGTATTAGCATTCATCTTGTGTTTCACTAATAGTTTTGTTGTTCTTTTTGTTATTGGTCTTTTCTTCGTGTTTCATTCGCCCTTCTTTATGATAAGTTCGGCTGTCATGACATTATTAATCTCGTCTCTGTATATGGTTTTATTACCATAATAACAATAATGTTATTATTATTGTTATTGTTATTATTATTATAAGTATCACCATTGTTATTATTATTATTATTATCAATATTACTGAGTGATTGAACGGAAGCTAATTTGAAGGGTGACAGCTGATAATCATAGATCAATATTGATTGAAATGGATGCCAAAAACTGCATAGTAAACACTACTTGTTTGATGAAAAATATTGTCATATCAGTGACTCTCTCTCTCTTCGTGTGTGTGTGTGTGTGTGTGAGGAGAGGATGTTGAAATTTTGAGGCTATATTGCTCAATTGGATGCTTTTGATGGGATTGAGTTCTCTGAGTTGAATGATTTCATTTACATGCCTTCATCGTTATTCTGAACAACACCATCAACTTGTTTCTCATTCACATACATACATACACTCACAGGAGTGAGCAAATTTTCAAATATTATTCCTAAAGTGCTTAAATTAATCAGTTCTAATGATCGTTTGTGTTATGACTGGTATTCATTTTAAGTAGTTATCTTCTTTACCTTTAAATTCCCGTCCGATGTGTTATTCTGTTAACCTTTGATTATAAGATTAATTAATTTTGCCGTATCATCATCATCATCATCATCATCATCATCATCATCATCATCATCATCATCATCATCATCATCATCATCATCATCATCATCATCATCATCATCATCATCATCATCATCATCATCATCATCATCATCATCATCATCATCATCATCATCATCATCATCATCATCATCATCATCATCATCATCATCATCATCATCATCATCATCATCATCATCATCATCATCATCATCATCATCATCATCATCATCATCATCATCATCATCATCATCATCATCATCATCATCATCATCATCATCATCATCATCATCATCATCATCATCATCATCATCATCATCATCATCATCATCATCATCATCATCATCATCATCATCATCATCATCATCATCATCATCATCATCATCATCATCATCATCATCATCATCATCATCATCATCATCATCATCATCATCATCATCATCATCATCATCATCATCATCATCATCATCATCATCATCATCATCATCATCATCATCATCATCATCATCATCATCATCATCATCATCATCATCATCATCATCATCATCATCATCATCATCATCATCATCATCATCATCATCATCATCATCATCATCATCATCATCATCATCATCATCATCATCATCATCATCATCATCATCATCATCATCATCATCATCATCATCATCATCATCATCATCATCATCATCATCATCATCATCATCATCATCATCATCATCATCATCATCATCATCATCATCATCATCATCATCATCATCATCATCATCATCATCATCATCATCATCATCATCATCATCATCATCATCATCATCATCATCATCATCATCATCATCATCATCATCATCATCATCATCATCATCATCATCATCATCATCATCATCATCATCATCATCATCATCATCATCATCATCATCATCATCATCATCATCATCATCATCATCATCATCATCATCATCATCATCATCATCATCATCATCATCATCATCATCATCATCATCATCATCATCATCATCATCATCATCATCATCATCATCATCATCATCATCATCATCATCATCATCATCATCATCATCATCATCATCATCATCATCATCATCATCATCATCAGTTGATATACTGAATAATGTGCTTCTAGAAATTTTCATAATTTCCTCAATCTAGAATTTTGGCATTTCCTTAGTCAACCTTGTATGCGTATTAGTTTGTGTGTATTGCGTTGTTTTACCATCAGTTATCTCCGGTCATTATCTTAGAGGATTCACAACCACCAACAAGAATGCTGATGCTTTCATACTAAGTGTGTTTTCGCTAAATGACACAAATATCAACTAAAAAATATACTAAATGATTCACTGGGTAATTGATAATAGTAATGTCATCACTGGTTTAACATTTCACATATTGTTTATAGCTGAGTTAATTAGCTGACTAAACGACCCGTTCTTCTGAGTGAATCATGTAATGATGAGATATGTATCTGGTTAGCTGATTGATTGGTCGCTATTACTGAACATTAAGTGAATGATGCTGTGCCCAATA